GTTGGCATGCATTTACCAAGTCAACAAGCTTGACCACCCAACCCCGTTAGTCACCTCTTAGGACAAGCATGGTTTACTGAAGACCAATTCTAACCCGGATCTTCACAGGAATACGTGCTGTGCACAGTACAACGTATATGAGTAGAGGAGGAATGGCGGCATCGCCATGACAACACTGCATGCTCGCCTCAGATTACTGTGTATCCAATACAGGGCGTTGTGGTAACCTAGTGGTTAGATCTTTACGCGTTGGGGTAACCTAGTGGTTAGATCTTTACGCGTTGTGGTAACCTAGTGGTTAGATCTTTACGCGTTGGGGTAACCTAGTGGTTAGATCTTTACGCGTTGGGGTAACCTAGTGGTTAGATCTTTACGCGTTGGGGTAACCTAGTGGTTAGATCTTTACGTGTTGTGGTAACCTAGTGGTTAGATCTTTACGTGTTGAGGTAACCTAGTGGTTAGATCTTTACGTGTTGAGGTAACCTAGTGGTTCGATCTTTACGCGTTGGGGTAACCTAGTGGTTAGATCTTTACGCGTTGGGGTAACCTAGTGGTTAGATCTTTACGCGTTGGGGTAACCTAGTGGTTAGATCTTTACGCGTTGTGGTAACCTAGTGGTTAGATCTTTACGCGTTGTGGTAACCTAGTGGTTAGATCTTTACGCTTTGGGGTAACCTAGTGGTTAGATCTTTACGCGTTGTGGTAACCTAGTGGTTAGATCTTTACGCGTTGGGGTAACCTAGTGGTTAGATCTTTACGCGTTGGGGTAACCTAGTGGTTAGATCTTTACGAGTTGGGGTAACCTAGTGGTTAGATCTTTACGCGTTGTGGTAACCTAGTGGTTAGATCTTTACGCGTTGGGGTAACCTAGTGGTTAGATCTTTACGCGGTTGGGGTAACCTAGTAATTAGATCTTTACGCGTTGTGGTAACCTAGTGGTTATATCTTTACGCGTTGTGGTAACCTAGTGGTTCGATCTTTACGCGTTGGGGTAACCTAGTGGTTAGATCTTTACGCGTTGTGGTAACCTAGTGGTTCGATCTTTACGCGTTGGGGTAACCTAGTGGTTAGATCTTTACGTGTTGGGGTAACCTAGTGGTTCGATCTTTACGCGTTGTGGTAACCTAGTGGTTAGATCTTTACGCGTTGGGGTAACCTAGTGGTTAGATCTTTACGCGTTGGGGTAACCTAGTGGTTAGATCTTTACGCGTTGGGGTAACCTAGTGGTTAGATCTTTACGCGTTGTGGTAACCTAGTGGTTAGATCTTTACGCGTTGTGGTAACCTAGTGGTTAGATCTTTACGCTTTGGGGTAACCTAGTGGTTAGATCTTTACGCGTTGTGGTAACCTAGTGGTTAGATCTTTACGCGTTGGGGTAACCTAGTGGTTAGATCTTTACGCGTTGGGGTAACCCAGTGGTTAGATCTTTACGTGTTGGGGTAACCTAGTGGTTAGATCTTTACGCGTTGTGGTAACCTAGTGGTTAGATCTTTACGCGTTGGGGTAACCTAGTGGTTAGATCTTTACGCGGTTGGGGTAACCTAGTAATTAGATCTTTACGCGTTGTGGTAACCTAGTGGTTATATCTTTACGCGTTGTGGTAACCTAGTGGTTCGATCTTTACGCGTTGGGGTAACCTAGTGGTTAGATCTTTACGTGTTGGGGTAACCTAGTGGTTCGATCTTTACGCGTTGTGGTAACCTAGTGGTTAGATCTTTATGCGTTGGGGTAACCTAGTGGTTAGATCTTTACGTGTTGTGGTAACCTAGTGGTTAGATCTTTACGCGTTGGGGTAACCTAGTGGTTAGATCTTTACGCGTTGGGGTAACCTAGTGGTTATATCTTTACGCGTTGTGGTAACCTAGTGGTTCGATCTTTACGCGTTGGGGTAACCTAGTGGTTAGATCTTTACGTGTTGGGGTAACCGAGTGGTTAGATCTTTACGCGTTGGGGTAACCTAGTGGTTAGATCTTTACGCGTTGGGGTAACCTAGTGGTTAGATCTTTACGCGTTGGGGTAACCTAGTGGTTAGATCTTTACGCGGTTGGGGTAACCTAGTGGTTAGATCTTTACGCGTTGGGGTAACCTAGTGGTTAAAGATCTTCACGCCGAAGGCCTGGGTTCGATTCCCAACATGGGTACAATGTGTGCAGCCCATTTCTGGTGTCCCTCGCCGTGATGTTGATGGAATATTGCTAAAAGCAAACAAGCAACCAATACGTCACGTCACTCTGTGTTTGTCTGCCGTACATGACACTTGGTCTCCCTACTCTGTTTGTTGTTTTACGCCGCACTCAGCAGTAGGCTGTTTGATGCGGCTTGTAAATAATCGGGTCTTGATAAGACAGACGATTAATAGCCCAGGCAACAGGCCACAGTGTATGAGAACGCCGACACAAAACCAAGTCACCGAGCGGGACCCCCGATCCACTTGGTCGCTCTTAGGTTACTGGGGACCACGTGACACGACAGTGGTGACGTCACACGAATCGTTCTCTGTCGTAGACTGGTTCCCGGATCCTCCGCTTGGTGTCGCTGCTCTTGCTCCGCTTTCCAATGAAAGGACCAGTCTGTCGCAGGAACGAACGGGAAGCAGTCTATCTCCATCATCACCTGGTAGACGATCTGGACCACGTGACGCGAGAGTGGTGACGTCACACGGATCCGGATGCGTCATAACATGTTAGACGTCGTAAAATGTCTGCCTCATGTCAATCTCATTAAAATTAGTTCTGAATACTCAGAACCGCTTCACAAAAGAGCGATAGCGAGCAATGTGATCTGATTTTAATGTGTTTACCTCAGAGTGGAAGAGAGCCGGTAGTAACGGTTGGTCAAACACAGAATTCTCACACACTCAAAATTCAAATCACACGAAAGTCTTTGAACGTCTAAGTATATCTATTCCCCACTGTCCTATAACGATTTTTATACAAAAGTGGGAATCAATACATACTGTATACCAGGAGTGGTTCCTTTATAACGCGGGAAGACGGTGGTCCAGTAGTGTTCCACGTGCAGAGTTGTCTCCCGTCAATGTGTCAAGATCCGCCTTTCGTTTGTTCGAATCCCAGATTTTCCCTGATAATTATGCATGGTTTGACATCACCACTCGTATATGAATACACTACACTTCTTTATGGATAACAACTTCGTTTATTCTTTTTAACGACGTTTCAGAGCTACTCCTTGCACCTTCATCGAGTGAACACTGAGTAAGCGGAAAGCGTTTATATATATATATATATATATATATATATATATATATATATATATATATAATAACATATATATGACATTCGGGGCGATGGCTAGCACAGTGCTCAAAGCGTTCGCTCGTCACGCCGAAGACCCGAGTTTGATTCCCCACATGGGTACAATGTGTGAAGCCCATTTCTGGTGTCCGCCGCCGTGATATTGCGGGAATATTGCTAAAAGCGGCGTAAAACAATACTCACTCATGACATTCATATGTATACCTGTATAATGTTGGGGATAGCCACTGAAGGTGATAAAGATGTGTGTTAGATGTGTGATGTCTTTGTTAGTCAGGATTGCAGATGGCGATGAATCGTCGTGAGTGAGTGAGTGAGTGAGTTGAGTTTAACGCCGCTTTGAACAGTAATTCACTTACATCACGGCGTGTCAGCTTCATGTGGGAGAAAAGCCCGAAGTGATGCAGGTCTCAGACGTTTACTATGGTGAAACCTACGAAAACAGATATGGTGCCGACAAACCACAAACATAATCGGGGGGAAGCTTGGATTTGAACCTGTGATCATAAGTGTCTGGCACACTCAAGGGAGGGAACTGCGAACCCAAGGGACGACAATAGCGGCGCCCTCGACGACTGAGCAGCAGGGGCCCCTTTGAGGTCGGAGGCAAGATGCTCATCAGTCTGAGATGCGGTATTGCAAACATGAAACTGGCTAAGACGTCATTAATCAATCATTTATTTTGATATGTAGAATGCCACATGTCTGTTTTGTGCAAGAAGTTGTGCTGTCCATATAATGCCTGCTTTGTGCTGTCTGACCGGGAGACAGAGAGAGGCCAGCGTTAACAGGCTGCCACGTGCAGGAACATTGTCGTAATTATGGATTAGTCTGGAAGATAAATCGATGAGTCCCGTTACGTCAGCTGTTTCATCACACTACTACGACAGCACCTACCGCAGAATAATTTCACCAGCGAGCGACTTTGTAGTATGATAACCACTTCATTCACAATGTCGGCATGACATAGAGGTATGTCTGCCACATGCAGCATCCCGCATGACGAGGGGGCGGTGGGGTAGCCTTGTGGTTAAAGTGTTCGATCGTCACGTCGAAGACTCGGGTTCGATTCCCCACATGGGTACAATGTGTGAACCCATTGCCTGGTGTCTTCCGCCGTGATATTGCTGGAATATTGCTAAAGGCGGCGTCAAACCATATTCGCTCTCGCATGACGAGCAGGGAGTGAAAGACTTCATGGCCCCTTGTCGGCGGTGGGGTAGCCCAGTGGTATAGGCGTTCGCCCGTCATGCTGAAGGTTCGGTTCGATTTCCAGAATGTGTGAAGCTCATCTCTTGCATCTCAAAAGTGATGTTGCTGGAAATTTCATAAAGTCACTCACTCACTCACTCACTCACTATATGAACAGTTTCTAACTTTCTATACCATTAAGAGAGGTGCAGTTCAAAGTTGGATTTCGAAATATGTTGCACTCGAAGACCAGGGTATTAGTGAGCCCTGCTTACTTTTGCCATGTTTTGACTGGGATAGTTTGAATATTTTCTCACTCACTCACTCACTCACTCACTGAAACGGTTCTATTGTGTGTAAACTGAACGTTACAAGGCAGTCATTAACTGTTAGATTGATGTACTAAAGTAAAGTTAACAGCCAACGTTGGGTTGAATGACGTGAACGTGCCTCGACTGTTGTCGAAAAAACAAAAACACAAGGGGGGTAACTCCTGCTTGTCTTGGGTCACGTTTCCAAGCTGTGGACAAGGAGGGTCTGCGAGCGTCACTGTTACAGCTGCTATTTGTCCCGTCATTAATCTGCCAAGAGCCTCTCCCCCACAGAGCTCTACCCTGACACCCGGGGACATGTGTTAACACACATGGTGTGAAAGATGAGTGACCTATAGAGATATAACCACCCAGTCTCGCGGTGAACAGACCCCGGCGAAGTAAGACTCATTTAGTCATACCTGACAGGTGTTTAAGACCAGTGGCAGGTGAGCAGCCCGAGGATATACAAGCAAGCTCCCCTGGCAGAACGCAAGACATTTTGTTGGAATCTGTTTCAGATAAGTAAGTATCATTCATACCTTTATAATGTATATTATCATTTGTCCGTATAAAAACAATATGCGTGTTGTACGTCCATGTGTGTTGATCAAGTGGTGTGTTCGATGTGTTTAAAAGACATGAATATCACGGTGTACGTCAATGTTTGTTGGGGTAACACTGACACTATTCGTAGTTGTGTCTCACAATCACACGTTAGTGTACTGATGTATTCCCCAGTGTAAAGCTCGTGAATACAACACTGTGTTTACAAATAAAGACAGACTCCGTTAATCCGTGCCGTTCAGAGGGAAATCGTTCAGATTAACTAATATCTGGATTAACGTAATCGTCCGCAATGCGGGATGTCCGGATAAATGTAATTGTCCGCAATGCGGTGTGTCCGGGTTAGCCGGGCGGAGTAACGAGGATCGTAGAAGGACAGAGTATGGCACGGAACTGCAGGTTTCAACTTAAAAGAAGCCAACGATACAATGATCGTTTACGGCTTGTTTGGTGTGCTGCCATGCGGAAAGAGAGATAGATCTGTTCGTAACCCCATCCAACGAAATAACGTTCGAGTGCCTTTCGCGTAATGTGTAGTGGGAGTGTGGGTAGTAAGAAGAGACGCTTGTCAGATCTGCTTAACAGCAACGTCAGTGACGACGACGTCATTCAGTGTGACGTAGATGAGGACAGTGACAGTGATGAGAACTGGACTATTACTATAGAAGAAGTGAGGTATGTGCTAACGACTGCTAAAGGTGTGTGTGTGTGTGTGTGGGGGGGGGGGGGGGGGGGGGGGGTATAGAAGATCTAACTCCTCCGCGTTATAAACTTTACTGTTTAGTGTTGAACTACAGACTGAGCAGTTGCGTAGAATCAGACTCCCTCCTCCATGACTACCAGAACGGTTTCAGGACAGACAGATCTACCATTGAACGTGTATATAATGTTACTACTATATATTATAAAAAAAAACACAGAAAAAGTATGAACAAATCTACGTTCGTGGCTTTGGTGGATTTTAAAAAAGCCTATGATTGTGTTAATAGAAATATTTTATGGCATAAACTGTTTTCCAATAACGTAAGGGGCAAAATGTACAATGGTGTTTTTTCCCTGTATAAAATGTACAGTGATCTGTACGTCTGAATGGTATACTTACACCCTGACGTCAAATGCGGCCTTAAACAAGGCTGTTTATTGTCTCCTTTGTTATTTACCATGTATATAAATAATGTGTTACATGCACTAGATAATTTATCAGTCGGTGTTAAGATTAATAACACAACGGTTGGTGTTTTAGCCTATGTTGATGATATTGTTAATTCAAATTCTGTATACAGTGATAAATCCCAAGTTATTAATTTTAGGCCACAATCTGTTATTAAATCAAATGTTTTATTTATGTGCCTGTCAATCAGTGGCTATATACACGCCCATGTCTTTGCCAGTCAATCAGTGGTGTGTGTGTGTGTGTGTGTGTGTGTGTGTGTGTGTGTGTGTGTGTGGTGTGCGTGTGCGTGTGCGTGTGTGTGCGTAGACGCATGTGTGTGTGTGTATGTGCGTATACGCATGTGTGTGTATGTGCGTATACGCGTGTGTATGTGCGTATACGCATGTGTGTGTGTGTGTGTGTGCGTAGACGCATGTGTGTGTGTGCGTATACGCATGTGTGTGTGTGTATGTGCGTAAACGCATGTGTGTGTATGTGTGTATGTGCGTATACGCGTGTGTATGTGTGTATGTGCGAATACGCATGTGTGTGTGTGTGTGTGTGCGTAGACGCATGTGTGTGTGCGTGCGTATACGCATGTGTGTGCGTGCGTATACGCATGTGTATGTGTGTATGTGCGCATACGCATGTGTGTGTGTGTGTATGTGCGTATACGCATGTGTGTGTGTGTATGTGCGTATACGCATGTGTGTGTATGTGCGTATACGCATGTGTGTGTGTGCGTATACGCATGTGTGTGCGTGCGTATACGCATGTGTGTGTATGTGCGTATACGCATGTGTGTATACGAATGTGTGTGTGTGTATGTGTGTATGTGCGTATACGCATGTGTGTGTGCGTAGACGCATATGTGTGTGTGCGTATACGCATGTGTGTGTGCGTATACGCATGTGTGTGCGTGCGTATACGCATGTGTATGTGTATGTGTCTATGTGCGTATACGCATGTGTGTGCGTGCGTATACGCATGTGTGTGTGTGTATGTGCGTATACGCATGTGTGTGTATGTGCGTATACGAATGTGTGTGTATGTGTGTATGTGCGTATACGCATGTGTGTGTGTGCGTAGACGCATATGTGTGTGTGCGTATACGCATGTGTGTGCGTGCGTATACGCATGTGTGTCTATGTATATGTGCGTATACGCATGTGTGTGTATGTGTGTATGTGCGTATACGCATGTGTGTGTGTATGTGTGTATACGCATGTGTGTGTGCGTAGACGCAGATGTGTGTGTGCGTATACGCATGTGTGTGTATGTGCGTATACGCATGTGTGTGTGTGCATAGACGCATGTGTGTGCGTGCGTAGACGCATGTGTGTGTGTGCGTATACGCATGTGTGTGCGTGCGTATACGCATGTGTGTGTGCGTGTGTGTGTGTGTGTACGCGCGCATGCATATTTACTTTGAAATGTAACAAAGGGACAAAAAATGGGAAATGAGAAGAAACCAACTTAACTATTAACATTTGTGTGTGGGGGATCACGCCAATGTACGTATATGTGTGTGAGCGTGAACGCTTGTAAGTATATGTGTGAGCGTGCACGCATGCACGTTTACAATCGCCTGCCTCATCAAACAGTACAGTTGGTTGCTACTGTTATTCACAGCTCTAATCGCCCTTGTAATGTGCTCAGGCTGGTGTAGTGACACGTGGGTTAGGCTGGGCTATTGGGATAAGTCCCCCCAGTCCAGATTACAGCACACAGCCCCATTGTCCGTTCCTGCTGTGCGTAGCTTGCCAAGATCGATATCTGGCCGGAACACTTCGCAGCTGTCAGCGCTTAGCCTATTAGAACCTACATGAAATATTAATATGGTCTGGATCCGATATTAACTACAGCAGATTAACTTTGACCGATGTAGTTCTTATCTTTTCTCAGGCTTGACGCGTACGGTGAATTGTCTTTACTTAACAGAGTATTGTACATATGGTTAGTGTGATTGTGCGTGTATCGTTAATGATTGATTTACAGATATAAGCGTGTATATAGGCTCTTAATGACAAATATAGATATAAGAGCATTTGTAGCAAGCCGCTGATTGACAGACATAGACATGGGTGTGTTTATAGCCACTGATTGACAGACGTAGATATGGGTGTGTATATAGCCACTGATTGACAGACATAGACATGGGTGTGTATATAGCCACTGATTGACAGACATAGACAGAGTATTGTACATATGGTTAGTGTGATTGTGCGTGTATCGTTAATGATTGATTTACAGATATAAGCGTGTATATAGGCTCTTAATGACAAATATAGATATAAGAGCATTTGTAGCAAGCCGCTGATTGACAGACATAGACATGGGTGTGTTTATAGCCACTGATTGACAGACGTAGATATGGGTGTGTATATAGCCACTGATTGACAGACATAGACATGGGTGTGTATATAGCCACTGATTGACAGACATAGACATGGGTGTGTATATAGCCACTGATTGACATGCATAGATATGGGTGTGTATATAGCCACTGATTGACAGACTTAGACATGGGTGTGTATATAGCCACTGATTGACAGACATAGACATTGGTGTGTATATAGCCACTGATTGACAGACTTAGACATGGGTGTGTATATAGCCACTGATTGACAGACATAGACATGGGTGTGTATATAGCCACTGATTGACAGACATAGACATGGGTGTGTATATAGCCACAGATTGACAGACATAGACATGGTTGTGTATATAGCCACTGATTGACAGACATAGACATGGGTGTGTACATAGCCACTGATTGACAGACATAGACCTGGGTGTGTATATAGCCACTGATTGACAGACATAGACATGGGTGTGTATATAGCCACTGATTGACAGACATAGACATGGGTGTGTATATAGCCACTGATTGACATGCATAGATATGGGTGTGTATATAGCCACTGATTGACAGACTTAGACATGGGTGTGTATATAGCCACTGATTGACAGACATAGACATTGGTGTGTATATAGCCACTGATTGACAGACTTAGACATGGGTGTGTATATAGCCACTGATTGACAGACATAGACATGGGTGTGTATATAGCCACTGATTGACAGACATAGACATGGGTGTGTATATAGCCACAGATTGACAGACATAGACATGGTTGTGTATATAGCCACTGATTGACAGACATAGACATGGGTGTGTACATAGCCACTGATTGACAGACATAGACCTGGGTGTGTATATAGTCAATGATTGACAGACATAAACATGGGTGTGTATATAGCCACTGATTGACAGACATAGACATGGGTGTGTATATAGCCACTGATTGACATGCATAGATATGGGTGTGTATATAGCCACTGATTGACAGACATAGACATGGGTGTGTATATAGCCACTGATTGACAGACATAGACGTGGGGGTGTATATAGCCACTGATTGACAGACATAGACGTGGGTGTGTATATAGCCACTGATTGACAGACATAGACATGGGTGTGTATATAGCCACTGATTGACAGACATAGACATGGGTGTGTATATAGCCACTGATTGACAGACATAGACGTGGGTGTGTATATAGCTTCTCACTGACAGGAATATGCTGATGCGTTATGGGGTGAGAGGCATAACGAACGCAAGCCTCGAGTTTAGCCGACTTTATACCTGCTTTAATGTTGCCTCAATAGACTATCGTATACGTAGAGACATATGAAGGCATCTGAAGCATTCCTTGTCTTCGCCAAGACCGCCGTGTTATATCTGCCACTGACATCCAGCGCCGTCAACAGCAGCGTCTGGCCAAGAATAGCATGCTGTCG